AATTGCCTCCTCTGGCATATTCATTCCAAGTCCTTAACAGAATGCAAATTACCCATGAGTAAAATCTGCTGTGGCCAGTGCTTCTAGATTTTTCTCAGATGCCATTGATACTTCCTCACAAGGGAGTTTTTTCAACAAGAAAAAAGAACGATAGCACAATTGTGCATCTAACATTTACCTTCTACTAACAGAGCTCTGGCAGCATAGTAGCTACAGGCTGCTAACCTCAAGGTCAGCTAGTTCAAAACTACCAGTGGTTCCACGGGAGAAAGATGAAGCTTTCTGCTCCTGTAAAAATTTACAGCCTCAGAAACACTGTACAGGGTCGCTGTGAGTTGGAACCAACACCACAGCACACCACCACCACTGAAAAAGTTGGTTTGCATTCATTTTTTAACAATAAGTACTTAATATAGAAATTAAGGAACCGAATGCAAATGCTTCTAGAGTTCTAGAGGACTAATCTTGGAACTATCTTAGTTTCAAGGGCTAGACCTTAACTGACTTGCTATTGTAATAGAAATCCTGAGACCGCATAATTACTTTTTAAAATAAAGCTAAATTTTTCAATGTTCATGAAAATACAACAGCTTTGTTTTCTCTATGAATAAAATTATCCTAATTTATTAACATCCCTTTTGCATTAATGAAATCAAGGATTCTGCTTACCAGATAAGAAGTAACACTTCTCAGAAAATCATGGTCCAGGTAATTAATGCCCCTCAAAAGCAAAGACTGGTAGGACTAGGAAGCCAATCTGAACTCATATTTTAAAGAAAAGTTCTAATAAAGCATCCAGTTTATCCCAGCCTGGGATTTTACAATTTCACTAAAATTTAATCAGAAATCATTTTAAGTGGATATAAGGCTTAAGCTGATTTTCCTAAAATAAGTAAAATATTTTTCCCAATTGTATTTTTATTTGCATAGAATAAGAGACCATCTAAACAGACTAATATAGATATATTAGTCTGTTTAGATGGTCCTTATTATTTGCCATGAGATTTCCAAATCACTTTCTCCTTAATATAAAATAAGCAAAAACATTCCCTGTTTTTAGATGATTAAGGTACAGAGAGGTAAAGTGACTTGAGGAATCAGAATGGTGAAAAAGAAATTAAGACGGGTTTTGTTGACAAAGAACTAGGGCAGTACAGCCTCCTACTAGCTTTCAGCAAGTTCCTTTGGCTCCCTGGGTCTGTTCATTCATCTATAAAATGGAGATAATACCACCCACCTCCTATAACTGCAAAGTCGGTAGTTCAAACCCACAAGCTGCTCCTCGGAAAGGTTCTACAGGGTCACTATGTGTCAGAACTGACTTAACAGCACTTTAACAACAACCACCTTTCAAATGGTTGATGTAAAGTATAAATAATTACCCAGCAGAAAGCCTGATACATATTTAGTCGTTCAACAAACAGGCTTTCCCACCATCCACAATCTCAGTTTCTTCACCCAGTACAATGGGTGTATAATCAATTCAGAAAGATATTGTGAAGTAAACAAGATAATAATGCCTGGCAAGTACAGTGCTCAGTATCTTTGTTTTCTCCCCAATATTCCCTCCCTTACTTAAGTAGCTGAACCACAATCAAATCCAAATGTTGGTTGCACTATAGAAATGCCACTGCATTCACATTTAATTTATGGCAGCATCTTATTTAACTGTAAAAGCTAATATAACCAAGCTACTTAATCAGTTGTTATTTCTAATGTGTTCGCAATAAAATAATATTCATTTCTAGGGTAGCTTCCCCTTTCCATAACTGGGGGGTGGGGTGGGGTGGGATGGAGTGATTATTATTTCTGAATTAAAAATATGAATTTTTCTAATTATATATTTGTCCTGGAAATTCCATAATATATATTCTTACTAGTGAACTACTATATCCTAAAGGTAGTTTAAAATCAATTCCGTAAGATATCACATGCCTAAGCATTTATATGCATTTAAATAACCCCAGTTATTATATTGGGTTCAAAGATTATTAGATACCTTTTTTATTTTTCCTATTTCTTCCCAAATAAAATAACAAAGTAAGGTGGTAAATGTGATAATATAGTTACGCATAAATGAAACAGAGGAGTGACAAATATGGACCAGATCTGCATTTATGAGGCAATGACCTTCAAAACTGTCAGGGAGCTGTTAACAATGTTCTTCACAGGGGAGCAATTATACTACAACCCGCCTATGTATACTTTCATTTCTCATAGTCTGCAAATACATTTGCATATCAGAAAGAATGAAAGAACAGTCTGGTAACTGTGGCAACCTTCATTGAGAGGATATAAGGCACTTTTATTACCTTAATAATCACATCCTAAATGCCAGAGCAGTATAACTGCTGCAATATGAAAAGCTAGACCAATACTTTGACAGAATTTCCTACAACTGAAATTTACCAAATGTGGCTAATATGACTCTAACCCAGTGACACCCAGTTCTGATTCTGGAATAGCTTACGTGGCCTTTGATGACCTCAAGAGGCATCGAAATATGTTTTAAATAGATACTTACTTTTAGTAAAAATTGGCACATAAGATTTTAAGGAAAAGGAGTTCACATTGTCACCAATGTTTTTAAACATAGGGTTCTGCAATTCCTAAAATGTTGGGAACATTGCTTTAACCTAATAAGAATTATACATTCCTTTCCTTTTCATATTGCTTTCAAAGAGCCTGCATCCAATGTTTGACAAATAAGTGTTTGCACTCACACATACATATAGACTTTATTTTTAAAAGTTGGTAAGAAAAACTCAATCTCTAAATGTTTAAAAAGCTATATGCACAAAATATTGTCTTCACATAAAATAGTATTTTTTATATTTCTTCACATAGGTAAAAACAAAAGCAATTCACAGTAACGACGCCAAAGAATGACATTACATATACATTAGACTCCTCTGTTTTTAGAATCCGTGCACGGATCAAAATGCACACTTACCACAGTGTAACCATATTACTCCAAGCTTAATTTTTTTAACTGTCCTAAATGTTTTATAACATATTAAATTGTAATAAAATAAGACCACCAGGAAAGTAAACACAACCATAGAAGGATGTAGCAAACATAAATCTGATAAATCCTGCTTAACTTAAAAATATTCTTTTCTCAAAGATAATAAAAATCACTCACAACTATAATACCAGTCAACCAATCTCAAAGGTTTCACTAACTGGGAAAAAAAACTAGTTGATTTATTGTGATACCTAAAAACCACAAGGTTATTTAATCATTTCTAGTGGAGTGGTGATATGAATTGTGTTTCATTTGTACTCTACACCTTGGCAAAAGTTAATGATTTGCTTCACAATTTTAATATCATCATTTACTTCAAAGGTATTTTGGGGACTTGTGAAGTCTAAATTTCACACTGCCCTTGAAATGCTATTGTGTAAAAGCTTTAAATTGTAAAACAACCAAAAACATGTTTAAACCCTTAAAAGTTTAAAGGCTCTTGATAATTACTGAAATGGTGTCAACTCAATGTTTCCTCCTCCCCCACCAAACAAACAAATAACTCTATATAGCCCATAAAGATACAATGGAAACAAAAAGTAGTAAGCGCCTCATTCAGTAAGGAAGACATGCATAACATCCCTCTCTCATATTCAACTACAAAAATCCTTACACTGGATAGCTAGCATGTTTAGGACTGCCTCATCTGTACGAGTATTTAAATGGCCTTAAAAAGGGATTCTGTGCTTTTTCTCCACCCTCATGGATCTTTGGCAGCAGTCAGCACTTATGCCCAGAGCTGGGTTTGGGGGGAGGGAAAGTGGAGAGAAGGCTCAACTGAGCCTGGAGTCAGCAGCTGCTCTGGTACACTACCCACCGTCTTTCTCACACATCGCTCTTTGCCTCTATTGAGCATTGTCAGCAAAAAATAAATAAATAAAGGGGGGTGGGGGCCGAGAGAGAGACAAAGAGGGTAAGACCCGGGCCGACAGTTTTTGTCTGTCACATACTGAGCCCCTTCTGCTTTCTTGCTGCAAAGGCAAAGGATCAGGTGAGTCCCCTCTGGGTCCAATTCAATTTTGCTTCACCAGAAAGAGCAGTTTCTGGTGAGGAGCATAGAATTCTCCTGGCTGATGAACTAAAGCACCGGGGCATCGTGATGTTTTCCATCTCTGACTTTATACAGGAGGAGAAAGGGCTGCGATTGCATTCCTGGGAATGACTACTACTCCTGACGTGCCAAATAGCAGTAGTGAAGGAAGAGAAACAAGGGGTTGTACAAACACACCAGGTTCTGAAGAAACGCTGGGCAGCATTATCGTATTGGCCTTTGGGGGTTTTATTGGGTTTCTCGACACCTACAACCCCACAATCGCTAAGACTTGTTGATAAATCGAATCCTCACGCCCCCCAGAACTGCCCAACACAATTTGATTTGGAGAGCGAAAGACGGGAGGGGGGCCTAAGTCTTTGAAAGCAGGGAGGGCAGAGTTCTCTTCCACAGGCCACTCTGCATGGGCTGCGCGTTCAGTTTTACCTTCTGAGAGCTCTGACTCACAAACACTGAGGGGAGGAAATTATGACATAAACCATTATTATTCTCCCAACCAAAAAGATCTGAAAAGCCGGACAGCCGTCCATGCCCGGCGGGAAAGCTGGACCCTTGCGCCCCCCGACGGGGCGGTCAGGGTACTAGCATCCCGCCCTGCTCGCCTCCCTCCCAACTCCCAGGAAGGTGCTCCTCACGCCGGGATCAAGGGCCCGGCACCGAGCGCCCCTAACCCCGACAGAGGGGAGAAAGGAGTCGGGGTCTGAGACGTGGTCTCGCCCTACGGTGGAGCACTAGGTGGCCGGCCCCCGGCAGGGGCTCCAGCAGAGGCGCCCTACGCCGCGGCCGTCCGTCCTCCGCAGCCTCGAGCGGACAAAGCGCGGCGCTTGGCTAGGGCTGGGGCGACCCCTGGGCGGCGGCCACGGGTCAAGTGGCCCGAGTCGGGGAGCGCGGGGATCCCGCGGCTGGGCGGCGGGTGCTGACCTGGATGGTGCAGGTGTACTCGCTGTCGTCCAGCAGCCGCACCGTGCAGCTGTACTCGCGCTCCAGGCTCCTGCTGCTGCCGCTCATCAACCTGCTCAGCATCTTCCTGCCCACTCGCTCGCCCCCGGGAGCTACGCGGAGGCGCTGCGGACCCCGGACCAGGCGCCCCTCAGCCCGGCAGCTCCGCACTGGCCCCAGGCACCTGCACCATCACCCCGGCCCGCTGCCGCCACTGCCTCCTGCCGGTCCCGCCCCTCCTCCTTCTCCTCCTCCTTCTTCTCAGCCGCCAGCGCCTCCCCCCTAGTCCAGAGCTAGCTCCCCGCTCTCTCTGCGCCCTACAGCCGGTGCCCAGCTCTTGGGGCGGAGCCTTAATCAGAGGGAGACCAATGGGGGTCAGCGCGGCGGAACCGAGTGGCAGAAGACAGAGCCAATTGAGATGGAACACTAGGATGATGGGCAAGTTGGGGGCGCAATCACGGGGAAGCAGTCGGACTAAGACCAGTGAGACCAGCCCTCTGGCATCCCAAACTGGGGGTCCTGTCTTCTCCGCACAGCCGGTGGCGGCCGTTTCTCTTCCCCGAGACCATGTGAGGGCACCCAGCTGGATAGATGTCGGCCGCCTGGAAGACGTTGGGCCAGGTCGGCTTCAGGGCTCTAAGCCCCTCCATTCTGCAACAACGTGGTTCCAGACCTCTCGGGAGCCGGGCAGCAAGATCTCCATCCCTGCACCTGCAGGGATCGGTCGCCCTACTGCTCACGACCAGGCAGCCTGCCACCCACTTTTGCTGTACCCCAAGTCGGCCCGACTGGCCTCTGTCCTCCAGCCCTTTTATTTGGGGAAACATCTGCTTTACAGGTTCTACTTTAGTTAAAACTGCGTGGTCCTCAGAGATTAAGCATCTGCATTTAACCCCTAAAAAAACCATCCCCTGTAATACCCCTTACCTTCTTTTATTTTCTGAAGACAAAAGGAAGAGGTTGCAGCGGCGTACTTCATTGGCTGGTATGGAGCTGAAGGAGCGATGCTTCCTTTCCTTGCACCTTTAGAACTGTAATTATATCTTCAGACTTGATCAACAAAACGCCACAACATGTCAGGAGAGAACACATCACCAAGGAAGGAATTGTCTCCCCTTTGCGACCCCATACCCGAAGACTTCAAGGTTCTTTATGAAAACTTCTCTTAGAGACATAATACTCTTCCTCAAAGATTATTTTTATATCTCTTAGATTTTTTAAAAAAGGGAAATGTGATCAAAGAATCACATCAACACAGAACATTGATGCTGTAATAAATGCATTAATTTAAATTGGTAAAATATGCTTTGGTTACGTTTGTTTATAGGTGTATAACATTAAGAAAAATCAAACCCTTCATTAGCCTAGAAAATGACCCAACCTTTCCAGTCTTTAGCAAGCCCTGCTAGCACAGTCCTGGAGTCCTGGTGTGGCGCTGTGGGTTAATGCGCTGGACGGCACAGTCGGGTTGAACCTACAAGCTCACCAGTCGCTTCTCAGAAACACTATACAACGTCGTTATGGGTCAGAATCGACTCGACGCCACTTAACAACAACAACAGTAACACAGTGGTTATAGTGCTTGGTTACTAAACACAAGGTCAGTGGCTGCAGAAAGGTGTGGCAGTCTACTTCCCTCGGAAATCCTTTGGGGGCAGTTTTCCTCTGTCCTAATGGGTAGTGGTTTCTAGGGTCTTTGAAGTGCACTTTTTCCTCGCCCATTTTTTTTTCCTTTTGGCATGAGCGCTCTCCACCCCCCTTTAGTTAGTAACCTGGATTGTTCTCATTAATTGCATCCTTCCTTGTGATTTTTAATAGGGATAGGAGCAGGTCCCTGTTGTCAATGCAATCCTGGTGGAATTAATTATGAGACAAAAACCAGTGAGTCAAATGTTTTAGCCATAAAGCTAGCAGGCATGCACTCCTCTGCTTTGTAGTTCCAGAAGGTAGCCAGGTGCCTGCAACATAACACCAAAACATACCAGTTGCCATGGAGTAGATTCTGACTCAAGGCAAGCCCACGTGTGCAGAGTAGAGCAGCACTCCATAGGATTTTCAAGACCATGATCTTTCAGAAGCAGATGTCCAGGTCTGAGGTATCCCTGGGTGGGTTCAAACTGCCAAGCTTTATTAGTCAAGCACATTACCATTTGCACAACCCAGGGACTCCAGCAACGTAATAGACATTCAGTAATCTTTGTTGAACTAAAGTGAATGCAATTGATGGATGTATTTTACAACACCTAATTACCCCCTCCCCCCCCAGGAGAGAGATCTGTAAAGAAACTAAGAGAATTTCAGGAAGGTTTTGGAGACAAGTCAAATCATTAATATGCCAAAATAATATGTCACAAAGCTCAGCTTTGTTGTAGTTGGGAGAAAATATGGAAGATTTCAGAAGGGCAGAACTTTTGGTGAAGGACAAAAGTTGCTATTCGTTGTTGAGTTTACAAGAGCATTAAAAATTATGTCCAAGAAGCCAAAAGATGCCCATTTATAGTGATAGTAGGGAAGCAGTGTTAACAAGTTATGCAAATAAGCAGCTGTTAAAATAAAAAGACAAAGCTACACAAATCCAGAAAAGCTCTAAGGAACTGAATGTAGTCTTTTCAAAGTATAACCATAGATGCAATCAACAGAGATGAGGCTGTGACTGCTCTACCAATGTAATAAGTAGCATTCTTGCTCAATCTAGGGAAATTTTGTCAGCTAACTGAAAGAGCAGTTGGATATCCATCCATATTTGTGCATAATATCCAAAAAGAGCCTCAAACTCTCCCTTCCTTTCTAATATGAAACACTTTGTGAGGAAAGCAGAATGGAAAACAATGGAAAGGAAACAAGAATCAATCAGTTTCCAATGTTATGGTTGTATCTGAGGATAATTGTTAGATTTCTGATAGGTCAGAGTTGCACATGTGCCTCTACAATAAGGCTCAAGAGCAGAAGCCTAATGGAAGCTAGAAAGAAGGAGATCCTATAAAATAAAATTGAGGGATTCTTTGTTTATCATTGTTTTCCCTAAATCTATTGAGCAGAATGCCCAGGATGGGAAAGATTTACTCAATAAAAGACCTCATATATCCTTAAGAACCAGAATGTCACTGTTTTCATGAGTTTTTTAGTATTAAGGAAGTCATATTTAAAATAAAACTCCAAAGTGCAATACCTCTGAGCCCCCACTTATAAATAAACAGATTTTCATGCCCCTCTAGAGTTTCTCTTTCTTCTCTACTGAGAAAATGCCCAGGGGAGGTGCTGTTTCTCACATATGACTACAATAGTTGGACTACTTCAGCTTTGCTTCAGATGCCCCATACCCTGATGAATGTCCCCTGTACTTCTGGAACATTAATCTCTATCCTCTGTGACTTCGTCATTGCCTTGAGATTTGGTAAGAAGGTGCACTGTCCTCTCAGACTCCACCTGAACATAGGCCTCCATGTCAAAGTCTCCTAATGGTACAGCTAGAACCAGACTGTAACTGCTGACAATATTTACAGATATAAACCACTCATCAAGTCCAAAGGGTAACCTGCAGGTCTGATATGGCTGCTCTTGACTCTCATGAATTAGATACAGGTGTGTTTTTGTTTTGTTGTTTAAATGTTTTATTGTGAATTATGTGATAGTTTACATGGGAGAATATTAGCTTTACATTCATCCTATCATATATTGTTTCATTGCAATAGTTACAATCCCCTCCATGAATCATCAACCAACCAAATGGTATACCCCACAAGCCTTCCCTTCGGTTGCCAGCACACAGATCCTCTCCCTCTCTGGGTCTAGAGTCCCCAGCCACTCCATCTCTCCACATCGTCATCTCTGCCTCCATCTCTGGCATCACTGTTTCTCTGGATAGGGTCATACACTCCGCTCTTCTCCCTTGATGGTCCCAGGGACCTCCACTCCTAGACTGCAAAGTCAACTACTCCCCATCTTTTGCTACAAAATGTCTACCTTTACATTTCCATCCCTCACAGTCAGTCCTGATAGCAATTATTCACTATTGTATCACAAGAGTCCTATCCCCATCTCCTTTCATCAGTCCCACCCAGACAGATTGGATACTACTCAGTGGAGATTCTACCTTCCTCCGTGCCCTCTGGATCTAGGCTTCCTCTTGAAAGCTTGTAAACCAGTTACTTCTTGCCTTTGTAGCCACCACCACCCCACCACCCCATTTTGCATAGCTAATGTCCAAATTGCCCATCCCTGTCTACTCTGTGTATGGAGGGAGTGGGAATAATTCTCACTGTAAAGATTTGTTGCCTCTTTTGAGCTACTGCATCCGTAGGTATAGGTCAAGTTCATCAAATTGTATCAGATTACTCTTTTATTGCTCTTCTTTCTTCTGCTTGTTGAGTTCTGATCATCCAGCCATTGAAGCCAGGTCAAATGGGTATTGTCAGCAAGTGTGGGTGTTCTTGTGAATATGCCCTCACTTATTATCAGCTGGATGCTTCACTCTCCACTCTAGTCCTCTGTGGCTATGTCAAGGACTCTGGGCCCAGGAGTCCCCAGGTTTTGCCACATTGCTGGCCAACCAGGTCTTCACCAGGGTTCACAGGAGTCTGATGAACATGGTAGGACTTAGCTCAGAGCTTCACTGATGTTTTTCCCTCACTTCCCCTTATCGGTGACCTATGTGGTCACCAGTTAGAGCACATGTCTGATCTTGTATTCCCCTTGAGTCTTAGTATTGGAAGGGAGTATGCCCTGAGGGGACCCAACCACTTGCCTTGATGTCTCCTAGGCAAGCAACTTGCTTGTTCTTATAGTAGTCAGTCGGACTGCGTTATTGTTTTGTATTTTTGCTGTCAGTCTTTCTTTCAAGAAGTATCTTCTGTTCTTCTAGCTGCTCCAGGCTGGTCTGCTTGTCCTTTCAAGTGGAAATTTCCCACCTCTGAAGATTCTGGATTCCACCTACGGTCTTATGCAATACAGAGGCTCCGCAGGGAAGCCTCCTTCACTGGGCAAGTTGTAGCCCCATTTTAGGTATTCCAATCAGTTATAGGCAGAAGATGGACTTACAGTCTTTCTATGGTGATATTTCTGGCTATTCCTTTCTCTCCCCCTCAAGTGTCTATTTTATAATGGTGTACAAGGGAAACCAAGATTCAAAAGACAGCCAAACATCTTAACATTATTTCCCCCATTTAACCCATTCAAACCATGCCTCAATCCCTGTATCCCAGAGCCCTGTTGTTCCAAGGTCATGCATGCATCATTATTTACCTCTGTCCCACTTAGTCCCTGCAAAC